TAAAGATTTCCCTGCGCTAAGCCATCGAACTTCGGAATACAGAGGTATATCTGTATAAATTGCATTATGCTCTTCGAGAAAGGATTGGAACTTTCTGTGATTCAGAAATTTGTGACCGCCTTTTATTGCATTAATAATTTTAGTAACAATCTGCATTGCGGTACACAATTTAATCGCTTTCCCACATAATGCTTCTTGATGAATTATGCAATGAATGAGGGGGAATTTTAAATCTCGCTGCTTTATTTGGCCGAAGAATCCAATTTTCGAACCAGTCATTGATTTCGCGCCATCAGTTATGATAGCCGAACATTTTGAAAAATCGATATTAAATTTTTGTAGGGTTTGTTCAACGGCTTTAAAAATGTCTAGACCGGTTGTTGTGTCATGTAAAGGTACGAAATTTAAAAGCTCCTCGATACATGAGAAATTGGTTTGTACGATTCGAGCAAATATACTCAATTGACTCACGTGTCGATTATCGGTGCTTTCATCAAGACACAATGAAAAATATGAGCACGTTGACAATAAATATTTTAATTTCTCTTCTATGGAAGACGCGATATGAGTAATTCTCGATGCTATTGTTTTTTTACTTAATGGAATACTAGAAGCTTCTGAGAGAGTTAAGGAATTTCCGAATGATTTGACAGCTTCGACAAGGCATTCTTTTACAAATTCACCTTCGGTAAACGGTTTCGAATGTTTAGCGATAAGACGCGATATGGCATATGAAGCAGTAGCTGCTTTTGCAGAAGACGTAGCATCATTATCTATAAAATCTACATCAAAAATTGGACTACGACTACAACCTTCTCGATATACTAATTTAAATCCTTCTATTAAATTAGACTTTTCTTGATACACATATTTTGAATACTCCTTGAAATGCTTGTTTATGTAATGTTTCTCAATCACAAATTTTTTAACAACAGATGGTTGATAACCGCACAGAAGACAAATCGTTTTATTAAAAATACATGCAAAGAAACTATCTTCCCACACTTTATCATATGGTTGTACATACCTCTGTTCACCTGCCATCCTCCACGTTTAATGAGATTAAATGTGGAAAAAATCAAAATTGCACAAGAAACACTTTCTCTGATAAGAACTTTTTCTTAAAGACACTTTATACGCTCGTTTCACAAGAAACTGACTGCGCGGCGCGTACCGGCAGTATTTACAGATTGACGGTTAAAAACAAGAGAGTCTTAAAACACTTCCGCATCGATAGTAGCGTGCGCCGATTTTAATACTCTCTTGTTAGGGGGTTAATCGGGTAAGTGTACTGCGTGTAAGTATTGGTTTGCCCTTCGTGATGGCTGCTAACTCCTCCTTGTAGTTGGCAGCTTGGACGACTCGGATCCAACTCAGGCGCGCTTCCTCGACTTCGCGGGTCCCAAGGACGAGCCGGACCGCAGGATTGGCCCGTACATCGGGCGCTCGCTTCTCCTGATGACGACGAAGCCAGCGGCGACACCAGGCCGAGATTCGTAGCAACCGATGGAGCGTGGAGTACCGGCTTAGTATAATCGGCTCCTCGGTGGCCTCTTTGCCAATGGTCGCAGCGTGCACTAGCGTGCGTCGTTCTGGGAGCTCGTTGTCGCTGTTCTCGTCATCGGAGATCGCCCAGCGGTCCGTCTCAGCTCGCAGCCAGGGAGGTCCGTGCCACCAGAGGGGGTGATCGACCAGCTCCTTTGGAGACAGCCCCCGTGAAGCACAATCCGCAGGGTTGTCTCGACCAGGGATGCGATGCCACCGGGCGTCTGGCAAGGATGTCTGGATCTCCGACACTCGGTTGGCCACGTACGTCTTTCAAGAAGTCGGGTGTCCACGGATCCATCCTAGAGCTACGGTAGAGTCCGACCAGAGGTGAAGGGGCACCTCCGTTGCTTCCAGGACGTGACGGATGTGACTGATGAGCCGAGCGAGCAGCGTTGCTGCACAAAGTTCTAAACGTGGTAGAGTTATCTGCTTTAGCGGCGCTACCTTGGTTTTCGCGGTAACTAGCGCGACCTCTACACGTCCTTCCCGATCCTCTGTCCGCAGATAAGCGACTGCGGCGTAGGCTCTTTCAGATGCGTCGGCGAAGCCATGGATTTCCCTCCGGCAGCCAGTTCCGCTATTCAGCCAGCGGGGAACGCGGATGCTCTCCAACAGAGGTAGCTCCGCCTGGAACTCCAGCCACCGCTGAGCGTCGCCGTCGGGGAGCGGTGTGTCCCAGTCGACTCCCAGTAACCACGTCGACTGTATAAGTATCTTGGCTCGCACCGTGGTGGGTGCGAGCCATCCCATCGGGTCAAATAACTTGGCCGTTAGTGACAGGACTGTCCTTTTAGATATCCTGTCCAGCCGCATCGTTGGCGTCGAGAAGGCGAAGTTGTCATTGTGCGGGTGCCATCTGAGGCCCAAGGTAGCGTGGCTCTCACCTGGTTGCCACCACCGGGGCTCCCGCTGTAGAAGGTCCTCCGCTGGCAGACTCTCGAGCAATGACGAATGGTTGGCCGACCACTTCTTCAGCGGGAAACCGCCCGCCCTGCAGATCTGCGTGAGTTGCTGCTGGATCTCCTCAGTCTCAGCAACGGTTGGTGCCCCCGTCAGGACGTCGTCCATGTAGACGTCCCGTCGAAGGACGTCCGCACCGAGGGGCCACCTGGAGGCTTCGTCATCCGCGAGTTGTCGGAGAGTGCGAATCGCCAAATAGGGAGCGCACGCCAACCCGTAAGTCACGGTGTTCAGTTGGAACTCCTTGATGTCCATATCTTTACCTTCACGCCACACAATCCTTTGCAGGTCGCGATCCTGAGGGTGGACGTCGATCTGCCTATACATTTTTTCGATGTCCGAGGCAATGGCATATCGATGACGACGCCACCGCAGCAGAATATCAGCAAGCGCTGGTAGTAGGTTCGGTCCGACTTGCAGGTGCTGATTGAGGGTCTCTCCCGACGGCAATCTTGACGAGCCATTAAACACGACCCGCAGCTTGGTCGTGGAGCTAGCTTCCCGCATCACGCCGTGATGAGGAAGATAGCAGAGCCGCTTGTTGACCCGGTCAGCGTCCGATGAGGCCGGCGTCATGTGATGTAAGTCGGCATATTGGCGCAGGAAATCGGCGTACAACTCATGGAACGAGGCGTCTCGAGAAAATCTGGTCTCCATGTGTTTTAGCACTCGTAGTGCTGCTCGACGGGTTCCGCTGAGATCCGGTAGCGGCTCAACGACAGGAAGGCGCACAGTGTATCGCCCGTCGGGCCCTCGGGTATGCGTGCGGACGAAGTGATCCTCGCACTCTTGATCGTCCTTGGATAGCGTTGTGGCGGCCAGCGGCATTTCTTCCTGCTCCCAGAAGCGGCGCACCATTCCCGCGAGATCCTCCTCGACACGGCACTGGTGAGTATGGGCCCTTGAAGAAGCGGTGGCTTCACCTATAGCTCCCGATAGGATCCACCCGAGCTTCATGTTTTGGGCCACCAATTCGCGGTGGCGTCCTTTGCGTAGGCCTTGGCAGAGGATGGCGGCGTGGATATCTGCTCCGAGGAGTATGTCGACTGGGTCAGAAGCGCCGTACTCCGGATCCGCAAGCTCCAGTCCCTGTAGGTGAGGCCAATCTCTAGCACCGGAGTCTACTCCGCCGGCGTAGACGGTGATCCGCGGAAGCACGAGCGCGGGAATGGACATCGCTGCCCCTCCGTGTCGCGGCGAAAGCGAGAGGGCGACGCGACCTTTGGCATGACCGGACTTCTGCCCACCAACCCCGAATACGCTGACCGATGCGGGTGTGCGTGGCAGTCTCAGCCTTTGCGCGAGGCGCTCGGAGATGATTGACGACTCAGAGCCCTGGTCGATGAGAGCGCGCGCGGGGTGCAACAATCCGTGTCGGTCGGCGACGCGGACGCGGGCTGTTGCGAGGAGCACTATTACTGGCTTGTCCGAAGGTCCTTGCGCGATTTCCCTGCGCTAAGCCATCGAACTTCGGAATACAGAGGTATATCTGTATAAATTGCATTATGCTCTTCGAGAAAGGATTGGAACTTTCTGTGATTCAGAAATTTGTGACCGCCTTTTATTGCATTAATAATTTTAGTAACAATCTGCATTGCGGTACACAATTTAATCGCTTTCCCACATAATGCTTCTTGATGAATTATGCAATGAATGAGGGGGAATTTTAAATCTCGCTGCTTTATTTGGCCGAAGAATCCAATTTTCGAACCAGTCATTGATTTCGCGCCATCAGTTATGATAGCCGAACATTTTGAAAAATCGATATTAAATTTTTGTAGGGTTTGTTCAACGGCTTTAAAAATGTCTAGACCGGTTGTTGTGTCATGTAAAGGTACGAAATTTAAAAGCTCCTCGATACATGAGAAATTGGTTTGTACGATTCGAGCAAATATACTCAATTGACTCACGTGTCGATTATCGGTGCTTTCATCAAGACACAATGAAAAATATGAGCACGTTGACAATAAATATTTTAATTTCTCTTCTATGGAAGACGCGATATGAGTAATTCTCGATGCTATTGTTTTTTTACTTAATGGAATACTAGAAGCTTCTGAGAGAGTTAAGGAATTTCCGAATGATTTGACAGCTTCGACAAGGCATTCTTTTACAAATTCACCTTCGGTAAACGGTTTCGAATGTTTAGCGATAAGACGCGATATGGCATATGAAGCAGTAGCTGCTTTTGCAGAAGACGTAGCATCATTATCTATAAAATCTACATCAAAAATTGGACTACGACTACAACCTTCTCGATATACTAATTTAAATCCTTCTATTAAATTAGACTTTTCTTGATACACATATTTTGAATACTCCTTGAAATGCTTGTTTATGAAATGTTTCTCAATCACAAATTTTTTAACAACAGATGGTTGATAACCGCACAGAAGACAAATCGTTTTATTAAAAATACATGCAAAGAAACTATTTTCCCACACTTTATAATATAGTTGTACGTACCTCTGTTCACCTGCCATCCTCCACGTTTAATGAGATTAAATGTGGAAAAAATCAAAATTGCACAAGAAACACTTTCTCTGATAAGAACTTTTTCTTAAAGACACTTTATACGCTCGTTTCACAAGAAACTGACTGCGCGGCGCGTACCGACAGTATCTACAGTTTGACGGTTAAAAACAAGAGAGTATTAAAACACTTGCGCATCGATAGTAGCGTGCGCCGATTTAAAAGTGACCTTAAATTAGGATATTTAGGATTATTAATAGATGGACGTTTCAAAATTTCCTTCTACATATTATCAAAATTTATTTTAGCAAAATTTTGTTTTTCTTCAATAGTAAAATCTGAATACAATGTAAGCCATTCTTTCTTTAAACCATCTTCATCAAAGCCGTTGAGGGTTTTTGCGACAAAAGAAACATCATTAAAAGATGTTTCTCTATTACTATCAAATAAAGCTATTTGTGGTTGAAAAACTTGTAATTTAAACAAAAATACATTATTAACAGGTAACATCTTTC